AGTGGCGGTTTTTTGGATGACTCACATCTAAACCAAACGACAGAAGAAGAAGAACAATAAATAGAGAGATCGGCTATAATTAAAAGCATTAAATATATTATGATATCGGATGCGATAAAACTGTAAGAAGACTCGTCAGGCATAATTGAAATCTATTATGAAAATTCAAATTTGACGTATGAATGAAATTCGTTTGGGGTAAATTGTGTTTGAAAATTCTAAGGGACAGAGGCATCTCAGTCTAAGTATAATCTAAGTTGTGATAAATAAGCAGAAAAATATTGTGCACGTGTATTGTTCAAACATTAACATTGGTTTTCGTATGAAACCAAAAAAATATTAAGGTCGCCTATGTACGAATTTACAAAAAATGGTTTTCAATAGAAAACACACAGGTGTGAGAGGCATCTTAATGATGTCAAGGTGGAAATTTGTTCGGTAACTTTTTTACAGGGTCTATGTAATAATTCCGATAGCTTAAAAACTCGAAGTAAATTTATAATTTCTTTAAAAATACACAACAAAAAAACAAATACTATATTTCCATTGAAGGAAACACATTGGGAAATGGACATGTATTTTGGCCATAAACAGGCCATTGGGGTTTATACAGCAACAATAAAATACCTAAAAACTTAGCCAACTGATCAGTAAAACCTTGACGTTTTAACCCGAAAACAGTATAAATTAAGGAACCAAAACTCAGAGCAAAATTCTAACCGTCTTGTCAAAGGTTATTTTCAAGATATTTTGTCAATACTTTTCGGTGCAATGCTATTTAAGTGACACTGTATTTAAACAAACCAGTAGAGTTTTTTTGACATTAATGAGCAATTTCAGTAAACATATAAATTTAAGTATAGTCTATAAATTGTAAAAAAGTTACACTCCTAAAACAAAAGACAGAAAAGTTTAGATTTGTCAAATGTCACTAAAAGTGCGATTGATTCTTATAGACTATGTATGATATGATATTATAGGGTTGTGATGTATAATATTATAACCTAACATATTGTTAATAATAAGAAGAAAAATAAAATAAATTGTGTCAAGCCAGACAAACGGTTTTAAGTAACAGAAATTATAACCTGATTCGGCTTGCCATACGATAATCGAAAGGGCAAACAGACACGTAGGTTTGATAAATCGTGGATGTAAAATATTTTTAAAAAATAGCCTCATCATTCACAATGTAGCATAAGTTATTCTGGTTGTGCATATAATTTCAGAGAGCTAGTAAATGTTTATTAAAAAAAAAAATTTGTTGAATAATATCTTTGCAAAATAATGTTTTTCTACTACTTGAAACCGTTAGTCGCATATTTTATGAATAAAAATAAAATCACTAACCTCTTAATTAAACGTCTTTTTTTTACATAATATTTTATACATTTATTGTTTTATACATAATATTATATACATTTTTTTATTATTTATACTAATATTATCCAGTAGAGTTGAAAAAAAAGTATTCCTGACATTTTTAACCTTTTCGTCCCTAATAAGCTTTGACACCAACAAGCCGTGACTTAACTAGGTGGTTTTTTGAATTTAAACAATTGATGTATGTTTTCAAAAGAAACTGTAATATCGACGATTGTGTCTTTTTAGAATTTCCAATGTATAAAATCAGGGCCAACAAATTTAGTTTTTTCGCTATAGCCTATGCACCTATTACTAATATTGTTTGAACTTTGATATTATTCAAGTTTTAAACAAAATCATAAGTTGACAGTATTATCGAATCAGTCATTCTTTTTGGGGTTTTTTATTCACACAGATATTTCGATATATATTCTCATGAAACTGCTATATAGGTGTTATTCGAATATTCATCCAAAAAAATATATACTTTATTTTGAATCAAATCGCCTGTAAAAAAACAAAAAACGATCCTGTGTACAATAATGTATGCAAATTGTACACATTGTCTTTTAGTTTGATATTTGTTTTATGACTATACTGTTGGACGTGTTAAAATGTAAAACAGTGGTGATAACCCAAATGTAATATTGTATTCTATAGCAAAACTAGAAAAGCCAGTACAGTGGTGAGGGGTTCGTAGTGGTAACTGAGCAATTTGTGGGGGGTGGGGGGGGGGAATCACAGGCCTATAAGAAATATTAAAAGTTGAAAAATATGTAAATCTATTGGGTGTTTTTCACGATTTCAAAATTCACGTTGTATCGAGTTTTGTGTGTACAAGTGTCCCTCGCACTTTATGACGTTTTAAAATGTACTGACTTTAAAATTTAAAATTGTTAAGAAAAATAACTGCCGTCCCCGCAAAAAATAAATGAACAATAAAAAATAGAAACAATAACAAGCATTGCTAAATACTCCTAAACGGCATTTATTAAAAATTTTTCTAAAGGTTAAAATTCCATAAAAATTTGAAACTAATTCGATTATTTTTAAAGATCCATAGAGCGCCGTAAATTTACAGTTGAATATCCAAAATTTGTAATATTTTGTAATAATTTAACTAATGGTTAATTAATGATTTTCTCTTGTTTTAGGCATTTTAAATTCATGTTTGGCTTCGACGCTGAGCTGAAAAGGTTTTGTTTTTACAATGATACAGAATTCTCTATGCAGCAATTCTATAGATGGAAGCCGTACTTGAAAATATGTACTTTTTTGGGATAAACATTAAAACATTTCACCCGTTCCCCATTAGAATGGAGAAAAACTCCCAAAAAATGTACATATTTTCCAACTACAAATTACGGCGCAATATACCTTTTTTTGAAGAAATAGTCGAATTAGTCCAACATTTGTATGGAATATTCTTTAACAAATGTACTACCGATAAACGTTGACAAACCAAAGAAAAATCACAATTCCCTCTCCCTGGATGGGGTGGAAATACTTTTCCTTTACACAGCTTTCTTACGTGAAGTTTTAGGTTTTAAAGTCTGATAATTAAACCTGATGTTGATCCGAAATGGTGCTATAACATACAAAATTGTATTGGAATAATTTTGTTCAAACAAATTCGAACATGGTCAATTTCTCGATTGTTATGTGTGAGCGGATCAACCAGTCAACAGGTATCCGGAAGATATTTTCATTTATTTATAGTAATAAATAATTATAGGAAGAGAATAAGCAGCCTTAATAATATTCACCCCACAACAAAAGTAATTTTTTTTTAAGCACATTATTGTCATTAGTTACAATGTTTTTTTTTATAGATAACGGTATTCCGTAGGTCTACTTTGCAAACATTTTATTTTGTTAACATATACAACGTATATTTTATTCTAATAAAAACACATGTGTATTGTCTTACAAGACATGACTGTTTCATATTTTATTTTGCAATTATTTTTTTTTTTTATCGCAATACTAAATTGAGTATAATGTGAACACTATTTACCGTCTTTTCGGTTTACCGCGCCACAATCTTATGCTATAGAATAAAATTATGTACTAAAATGTACTTTGTATGGAAAACAACTAAACAAATATATCTCGATGGACTGTGTGTTGTATAAGCTTCGGACAAACGAGCCAATTGATGTGCTTAAAACATTAAAATCAAACTAGATACCGTATTGTGACCGTTTGTTTGAAAGTTTCACTCATCCCTGCCGTTAAAGTATTAAGCTTTCTGTCAGGCAGACCCTCATTAGGACTATTTAAAAGTTCAGTTTTCACAATTCATATAAGCTCCGGCAGCAAGAACTTCATAATTTCTAATCAGCAGTAAAATATATTGCTATTTTTCCAACAAAAAAAAAATAGTTAGAAAGCAAAACTTGCTACATTTCAACAAAAACTATTGTATCTAATAATATTATAATAATAATAATGGTGACTAAATCAATTTACTATACTACCAAACAACCTTGTTCAGCAGCAATCGAGAGAGTACTCTTATTTTGACTGCTTTTGCGGGGAAGCAACAGCATAACAAAGGTCGACTGACAAAGGACATCACAAAATTCGTGTTTGAAAATATGAATAGTAATGCGATAAAGTTAAACACTTGAGGTGCTTTTACCAATGATGTAACTATAAATAAACTGCATTTAAAGAGAGTTTCTAGTAAAATAGTTAATAAATATAAAGATGATAATATTAGTGTAGATAAAATATTAAAATCCCAAAATAGTCGAAAAATACATTTACAAATATAGTGATAGATGTTTAAAGGGTATCAGTTTAGTGAAACTAAAACTAATCTTAAATAGATGATAGGCATGGTTGTCTTATTTTCATACATGTAGAAGACGAATTGAAGAACCTTCAAAAACTCAAATATATTTTATTCAAAATTGTTTACATTAACAGTAAGTTGCACTATATTGGTTTAAAGATTTAAAAAAATAGTATCACCTTTCTACTATTTTAAATTAAGTTAGGTCGTTAGACATAGGCTCAGTTAGTATAAACTGTTCATTTATATTATTATGATATATCAAGTTGATTGATTCTAAGCTCATTTCAAAGAGCTCTCCAAGAAGATACAAAATATGAATTAACAAAAAATAAATAAATATTTAAGCTACATTTTTCTTTAGCCACGCAGATCTCTGACATCGATGAACGGCTATTGTAGTTTAAGGTCTTTAACATTTGTTGGCATGCCACTGTTAATAAATATTCTCACACCAAAATATCATTCCACCACTTCTCTTGGAGTAGGTTTATACTGTGCTTGGTTAACACTGTACTGGTTTTGATTGTGATTGGTTAGGACTTTGCTGGTTTATGATCTGCTGGATTCATACTATTTTCAGATCTAAGCGTTTGATTGTGATGATATCACATTAAGATTTCGAATTGTGTGTGATCCAAATTCAGTAAAAATGTAGCGTAATAAAATGTAATAGGTTTTCAATTAAATAAAAACAAAAAAATTTAGGTACTGAATTTTTATTTTTTGTAATTATTAATTAATAGAAATAAGATAAACATAGACACCGAGGAACGTAGTATTTAAATTATTAATAAATACATAGAAATGTTTAAAATATTATTATTACTATCATTATGCTCGTTAAACATGCCCGATTAATGTTATTAAAGCTTGTAAGTTCTATCTTCAACGGAGCTAATGTTTAGCGTCATAGGGACAGTGTTTGGTATGTTCTACAATGAAAAATACAACTTGCATGTAATCCGCTACGTTTCTGTTATTAATACCTAAAAAAGGAAAATTAATTATTTTTTTTTAACAAGAGACGACCAACATCAACGTCATTAATTGAAACATTTTAACGCTATTAAAATTAACTTCACCATCGAATTTCATTAAATAACGTCGAGCATTTTCAGTAGGGTTTGTCGACCGTATCAAAATTTGTTTTGCCTTTTCCACGTAGTTGGCATACTCCTTAGGCATCAGTACACCGTCGTTGGAAAGGTCGAGACCAACGAATTCTCGTATGGCAGTTACGACCTCGCATAGACTTAATACCGGTGATTCCTAAATAATTGTTAATGTAGAAATGTATAATAATTATTAATTAGTATGCGAGATAATACTATAACGAACATAACAGCGGAGAAATTTGAAATAAAGAGTGATCGTTTTATCGTGAACCACTCAATACTTCATAAGGTCTAATTATTTATACATCAACTTTTGAAACTTTAACAGTAACGCATTTAAGTTTTATAAATTTGGTGTAAGAATTATTAGTTTGAGAGGGGAGAGAAGTGTAGGGATATACAAATTTGTGGAAAATTGAGATTTTATATAAAAACAGTATGAAAAAAAAAATGTAATTATTAATTAAAACCAATGAGATATTGAGAGGTTCACGATAAAATGATCACTCTGTATATAAAATAAAGGAAATGAACGATATTACATTTACCTCACCGACATCCTTGTTGAGTTCTGCCGCAGCGAGGATTAATTCAATCAACAATATTCCAGCGGGTTCTGTGCGAATTTTAATAAAATTAATAGTTTTTATTTCTCAAATTACTTGTCATTTATCTAATAACACAATACAAAAAAAATTCTTACGGGCGGATTCAAATAACAACTGTAATTCGCTGTTTATGGTTATGCCAAGCTCTTCGAACACTTTTCTACTTGCAAAAGGATTAATGCCAACAGCTGCTCTCTTGTGTGTTTCGTATAAATCAGCAAACTTACCTATCTGTGCTAGAGTCAGACCACGGCCCTACAATGTATGATAAAAGTATTAAAACAAGCATCCCTCTTCCAAAGATCAATAATTCAAACAATAAATCCCCAAAACTCCACATTCATAGACTAAGAGTAAAATTTTAACAATTAAAAAGAAAAAAGTATTAAAGCTGAAATATGGACAATTAATAATGTCTTGCATGGTATTCGACAGTACAAATTGTTATGATATCAGCAGTTTATCTGAACAGGTTATCCCACAAAAATTTGACAGGCAAACAAACTTTTGTTCAATTGAATATTTTTCAAGAAAATTATAACTGTTCAACGACCAGTTTAGGACAACTACGTTTGTTGTTTAAATTTAAAGTTTAGGACTCCACCTCCCTTTCGACTACAGATTTTATTTTCCCCACTTTTTTAAATTTTATCTCGATTATTGCACTTACATCTGGTTTCATTTCCAACATGATTAATAAGAATTCAGCTGCGTTAACTATATGGTTGTCTTGTTTAGAGTTGTCTGAAATCAAATAAAAAATACAAAAAATTGTCTACATCAAGTGAACCGCCTTCTAGGCTTGTGTGCATTACCGCCGTTTCCGGTTTTAAGTTTTTTAAATTTTTGGTCCAATGCAAAATGTATTGTTTTCCAATATTTGAATGTTTCCGAGAGCTGTTCAAGAGTAAGATATTCCGGTTGATCATGAGATTCAACGCATGTATCGAACTCCTTCAGGAAAAAGTCTACTTCAAAAGGCGTAAGCCATTTAACCTGAAAACAATTTATGCATAATTGCTTATAACAACAATGGCTCCAGCCATTATCTTTCAAAATAATTTTTAAAATTATTCTTTTATAATTTACAGTTTACCTAATATTTTTATCACATTTTCTATAATCAAATTCAATAAACACTATCCCTTATGAGTAGAGTCATATGAACTTTTATAATAACGGTGTAAGTTAATAATTTTTTAAATATCAAATAATTTGCTGCAAATTTCGACTGGTCGAAACCCAATTTTGAGCAACTACTTTTAAAGATAATAATGTTCAATATCACTCAACCGCTTTTTGACTTTTGCATTTTTAACTTTAGTGTTATTTAGTTTACAGGTTTCGTTAAAGATACCTAAGATACTATAGATAGAGATAAAGTTATATTGTTAGAAAATATATAAAATTTCAGCTAATTTATAACTCTCTAGTAAAAGTATGAAAAAGAATAATTAAAAAAAAATCGCATTCTCGATAATTGCCAATACTTGGTTTATATTTTATTAAGAATTTAAACTTGTTGATTTAAGACTTCGAATACCTCAATGTCGTCGGATTTTTTATTCTCTTGTTGCGCCAAGGTTGTCAATAAGAAATACAAATTTGTAGAATCGGGTTCATCTGTATACAAATTGATTAGTTGTTAATAATTAAGTCATTCGCTTTTAATAAATCAGTTGTATCGATATCTTTTTGCCTAAAACATTATTGTTTGGTATGCTTATGGTTTGCAATAATTGTATTTAAGTACTACATTTTACATTCACATATTATACTCATGCGTTTCTTAAGTACTCAAAAATATTATTAAACAAATATTGACACTCATAAAGATAATAATATAAAATAAAATAAAATCTTCTCGTTTTCGCATAGAGGCAAACAAGTTAAATACGTTTTGAACCTTATCGCTTTGTTATGCAGATAATTAAGGCACCTTAAATTGTAATTTACATAATATTCTATATTCTGTGATACTGATTAAGTACTCGCAGTGTCATATCTACTCATATGAAAAAAAACCTACAGTTATCCCAATAAAAACACTTCGTTACCTCATCTGTGCAAATTGTAGATAAGAAGAAAAAAAAGAATAGTTTCAACATAAGCCTTAAAATAGGGACTAAGTAAAAACCATAATTGGTTGACTGATGAAATATTTCTCTATTCAACTTCATGCAAAGCGACTTTTAAACCTTTTCCTATATCCAACATAATTTGTTTTATAAATGGCTGCCTAGGTTTTCCTCTCCTTGGCTTCCCTTCAGGGTTTCCCTCAATTATAGTGATAGTATGTATAAATTCTGCCTACATATTAAACCAGTAATAAAAAAAAAAACGAATTTTTAGTTTACTTGGCCGGAAGTAAAAATGTCTTGTCTACTATGGTTTTCCCACTATATTATACAGCTTCGCCAAAGACTAAAAAAGATAAAAGTTTGAATATTTTCTAATATCGTGCTAAAGCATGTATACAAATGGATTTCAAAAGAAAGAAAATACTAGAAAATTACAATTTTATTAAGAGTAAACTAATGTAGCATGCTAAAAGAATCGGCTGGTATTAGCCATTAAGGTCAACAAACATTAATTAACTAAGTGCAAAGCCTATAACGGTCGACTTTAATAATTGTCCAAACAATAGGAAATATTATAATTTTTTATCATACCTGACACGTAACTAAAATCATCTAGAATTTGTTCCCATTCTATTCCAAAGGTTTCCTTTACGACGCCAGCGATTTGCTTCTCGCTAACTCCGCCGGTAGACGTTTTGTGATTTTCAAACAGGTTGTTCAACCGATTTAATTGATCACTGTTCAGTCCGACGCTCTGAAATAAAGTATGACGACTATCAATTGTATTGGTAAACTTACTGAGTGAACCTATTTCCGATGACGTGGCAGATTTACACACATATTGTGTTAGTATATAACAACATTTATGTCATATATCAGTTTATTACATCCGATACGAATAATAAATATATAGTATCATACACTCTTACCCATGCCGACGTTATAAAACACACCACGCAGACAGTAAGGGCGATCTTGAAATTATGCATAGTTTAGGTTATTTTTTTAAAAATAATAATCAAACATTAATCGAATACTTGTAATAGTATAGCTGTACTGTTGGCACCAAAGACGAACGACGGATAAACAGTAGAAAAGTGTTTTTGTTCGCGTCTTTGGTATTGCGTTGACACAAGCGCAAAAAAACAATGTTTGCAAAAACACATGTTACAACATGTACATATTCTAAACTATAAGCTTTAGGTTTAGGCCATTTGCTAGAAAAATACACTTGTTTGTTAAAGATTTGTTGTAAAATGTTTTGAAATTGATGTTTCTTTATTTCGCTCCTATACGTGCAGTACAAAACTTAAGACAGAAAAAAAATACATTAAAATAACATCTACTATGACCCTATTACAATAGCAAGTTCTTTAAAAAAAAAACAATTTTTTTAACTGTTATATATCTAAAAAGAAAAAAATAATAATAACGACCAGAAAACAACTGAAGATTTTACTGTAAAACTTATATACCCACCTTTTGAGCTAAGGAATAAAGTACTATGAAAAAAATAAAATGTGTTTTTATGATTCATACCTAGAATATAAAAAGCCAATACAGTGGGGTCGGGGCATAGTGGGAACGGGTAGGTCACAAATCTACAGGAATTCTTATAACTCAATCTGATAAAATAACTTTTAAACAAACGCTTCGCATTCTGGTGATAGTAGGTTCAAACCAGTGATAAAATTAATAACACACCGTTTCAAACATCAGTGCTAAAAAAAATTATGCAATAACTTGTTCCTGGATATTATATTCGATATTACCATGATACATATTAGGCTTCAGATGTAGGCTATTTGCTTTAAGTCAGGAAATAAAATCTACTAAAATAACATCTGCTGTGACCCTATTTTAATAGCAAGTTCTCAAAAACCATTTTTTAACTGTGTTTTGTATCAAAAAAAAATAATTAAGATCAGAAAACAACCGAATATTTTACCGTAAAACTTATATACCCACCTTTAAAGCTAAGCAATAAGCTACTATGAAAAAAATATAATGTGTCTGGGACCGGTGATAGAATAGACCCAGAGTATTCCCTGCTAGTCGTAGAAGGCGACAAAAAGGGACTGAGGAAGGGCAGCAGCTTTCTTAGTACATAATGCAAGTAGAGACCTAGATGGTCGGTATATTTTCATACCAGAAAGCCGTAGGCGGGAATGACAGTCTTTTGACGACTACGGTACTGCGATGTGAAAGGAAACGGGAAACCACCACATAATATATTTCCTAGTATCCGCAGCATGAATTGCCATGAAATGTAAAAGGCTATGTAGACGTTAAAACTGGAAGAGGAAGACCAAGAATGGAATACATTTCACAGATTATGAAGAACATGGAAATAGGTAGTTATCGAGATCTAAAGGAGCTGAGTTTTAACAGAGAAGCTTGGAGAGCTGCGGCCAACAAATCGAGAGATTGAAGACCGAAAAAAAACCTAGAATATAAAAAAGCCAATACGTGGGAACGGGTAGGTCACAAATCTACAGGAATTATTATAACTGAATGTGATAAAATAACTTTTAAACAAACGCTTCGCATTCCGGTGACAGTGGGTTCAAATCAGTGGTAAAATTAAAAACACACGGTTTTAAACATCATTGCTAAGAAATATTATACAATAACTTGTATTTATCTAGCATTGGACATCTATTTAGAGTGATCCTATTAAGTTTAGAGTACTTAAGTACCAGTTTTAGGTTTTAATTTTTTTTACCTTTATTCGTAGTTGAACTTTATGATAACGATTTTGTCCTGTTAAGGACCCACCCTTATCAGGGCTAATAGATACATATATATTTATATATATATATATATATTACATTGTACAACTTATTAGGACTAACATATACTACATATATCTATATATTGTATTATATAACTTCTCATTGTTAAATATTGCTAAATATGAATGTACCACACGTGCCGATTTCACATCAGACCCAAAAGGTCATTACAGCAGCTTGCGAAAGCAGACAACTTGTAATTCTGTTCACAGTTGACCTCAACAACGAGGCCAACCACTAAAAGGAACTTAACGTTTTGGCAACTACCGTGTGAACCTCACATCGAAGCTAGCCAATTTCGACCATGCGAAGGCTGCACTCTCATGCCTCTACCCTTCCTCCACCGTTGACATAAGCGGATGTCATGGACGAGCGAGGTCATCCACGCGCGGACTTTCGATAATTGCGAGGATTCCCACGGCCATTCAGCGAGCGGACCAACATATAAGGGAGAGTTTCAGGCATAGCAGGGCAGATGTGCTGGGACCACCATACACTACACTTGAAGTTTCTACCTATCATCTTCTTTTGAAGTCTTAAGCGGCTTATAATTGTCTTAATCATCATATTTTTGAAGCATACTGAACTTATGCTATTAACTGGTTATCGTTGTACCTGTTTTATAAGTATATTAAATTAAATGTTTGTGATTTACTCTGAAGTTATTCTATTAAATATCTAAAAACCTATCACCACGATTGTGACAAGACTCAAACAGCCTGCAATACATACGTACAGGGCTACAGGGTTGTTACAGTCCAACACTGTAGCAGATCACCTAACCACAACAGGAGTTCACCACCCAATTATTGAGTTTTAGAGCAATGCCCATAATAGTCGTTTGGCATATGACCGCATTTAAAAGAAAACGATTTAACATACAAATAGGAAATCACCCCATCCCTCCCTCAAGCCGGCCATTAACCTTTGTCAGGTATACACAGGTGGTGTATGTAATATCGTTTGATATCACATTATGGTTGTGACATGTATTCGTACCACAAAAAATAGTATTGTTAAATTTTGTCGTATTTCACACAATTGCTTATTCAAAAATACTTATACTATTATTAATTATTTAACTTATATTATTATTACGTAGTGCATAATGTCTTTTAATGATGAAGTTTTAATGGAAAAACACGTAAATATTCGCTTTTATATGATCCTACCAATAAATTTAACCATGATAGCGTTCAAAAAGAAAATGCTTGGGAAGAAATTTCGGGAATATGAAAATGTCCTGGTATGTAAAAAATGTATTGTATTTATTCTAATTTGTATTTAAAATAACAAACGTCATATTATATCAATTTTAAAAGTTTGATTTAAAAAAAAAAACTACATTAGTTTTAATTATAACTCAAATGAACGAGCAAAATGTATATTTAAATATTACACATTAATATTTCATATTTAAATCAAGGAGCAAAATGTCTGCCTTAGTAAATACGTTCGCGTTGCCATGGTATACACTTCCTTGTGGTGATATAAAAAACTCTTTACATTTTTCTCTGATATCAAAAGCATCCCCTCGAGAATTACCTTCTACACCAGGCATATCTTCATTACCCGTTGGTATTACTTCTTGATTAAGTTCATCAGGTTGCCAAGAACAAAAATAATTTCTTAAAAAGTTGTGTAACACACTTGTAGCTAATACATTTTTTTCCAAATGATCTGGTGAAATGTTAAATTTCTTAAGAAAAGATTTCTACCTAGTTGTGATGACCTAAATATACCACCGTCACTATTGCGCCCATAAGCTCCAACATCAACAGTAATAAACCTGTAGTCTGCATCTACCAAAGCAAGTAGTACGGTACTGCATTGATTTTTGATTTTATAATTAAGTGAACCTGAAATTGGAGGCTTTTCAAACATAACGTGTTTTCCATCCAAGGCCCCTAAATAAATTTGGATAATTCCATTTCTCAAAAAAATATTTTTCAATATTTTTCCATTGCTCTACTGTTGGTGCAGGCATAACCAAAGGCTGGAGCGTCGTCCATATTTTTTCACACGTATCATAAACAATTTCTCGTACAGTAGTCTCTCCTAGTCTGTAGCTAAAAGCATATATATATATATATATATATATATATATTCTAATATTATTTGACAGCAAACGAATGTAAGGGAAAATGGACCTGTCTTGGAGACAATTTTAGAAAAAAATCTGTGAATTATAAGCCATGGAGATATGAGGACACTATGACCTTTCTCGTACCATACATCAGTGAAAGAGACCAAAAATCAAATCCAACTAATGATGGCGAATTTGATGGAGAATTGGATACAAGAATTGATATAAGAATTGAATTATAAAAATAGCATGATAGACATAAGTGTACAAGAACAGTCTAGTAAAATCGAAAAAAATTCTGATTTATCACCCGTGCCATCGCCAACATCGTCCTCTTCATTTAAGCAAAAAAAAACAGCCATTAGCTATAGCAAAAGTTTTACAAAACTATTTTGATCATAAAAAGACTTCTAAAAAAAAAGATCACTTGAATAAGTTTTTTAAAGTTACGGAGGAAACGGTGAGAACATTCCAACCACATTTAGAAATTGAAATTAAATCAAGAATCTCAGGTTTGGTGACGGAGTACGAGTTAAAAAACTTACAGCAATCGACCATGCAACATCAATTACAACAAACAAACGAAACGGAATCAAACCCAAATTTTTATCATTTATAATAATTGAAAATAATTTTTATTATTATTATTTAAAAATTTTAAAATGTAATTATTACTATATAATTTTAAATGTTTTTTTTTCTTTAATGTAAAAATATAAAACTAGTATGTAATTTATTTTTAAACAATAATTTTTTTTTTTTTTAAATAACTTACTTCAGGGTCACTGCTAAACGTTCTGTAGGTGAAGAAATAGCTTTCCGAAATCGAGTGTCTCGCTGTATCCATGGTATTTATTTTAACAGTTCAAAATATTTATTGCTCGACATTCTAAAATATTTAAATAATTTCTGTTCATCTTTTAATAAATCTGTAAATAGATGATGAAATTCGACAAATTCACTTCTTTTTTTATTTATATCACGAACCCACAACCTAGTTGAATAAGTTTCTACATGGCAAGCTAGAGCAATCATAATATCTTCTTCTGACGAACTACTCATTATAAAATCGAATAAAAAAATATAATTAAATGTAAATTATACATAA